CATTTTGTTTTAAGGATGTACCACTATGCACATGTTTGGTCTCATCCATAAATCATAGCTGAGGCCACCTATGCATACTTAGTAGATTGATAAAAATGGTGTTTCCCATCTTTTCTCAACACAAGTCTTCCTCTAAACACAATATGTCCTGGTTCGTTATGGCAGAACAGGGATTGGAGTCTACTCAGATCCTTTTAGCTTCAGAGCACAGCCCTTCCTCTCCAATCCCTGGTGAATTCCCTCCATGGCATTTTAGCAACAGGAACACCAGAAACTGGATACAAAATGCTGGCAAGATATTTCATGGGCCTCTCATTAACCCAGCTAGATCAAACTGTCCGATCAAGCAACTTGCAGAGTAGAGTAGGAGAATTTGCCCATCAGGGTCTCCCAACATCCCTGCCAAAAAAGCAACAGATCAAAAAGTGATGCAGTCAGCAAAAGAGAAAAAGAAAAATGAGACAGAAAGAGCACTGAGTGTATGAGACAGATGAGCAAAAGAGGTGAGAGCCTGGGAGAGATGAGGCATGCAACAGACTGAAAAAGCAATTGAGTAGGTAATGGAGCCACAGGGCTGATGGAGAAAGGGATGATGTGAGAGATTTTTTTCCCCTGGCTTTATGGAGAGGAAGAAAGCATATTAAATCTAATGTCTGTGTCCTTGGTATGAGCATTTTAAGGATAAAGGATACTGTTTGATCAGTACTTGAGTGGGAAATGATGAGGGCCACCTAGAGCTACAGCTTTGACCGGGTAGTCAAACAAAACTCCAAGATGGCAATAGCAAATTTTCCATGCTGTTGTTAGTTGTATTGATAGATGTACTGTCAACAACACTGTAAGGCAGGGGTGGTATTCACTTACCTTCGCTACCGGTTTGCAAATGTGAGCGCGCAGGACCTTCCGCCCATGTGCAGAGCATCAAAAACAGGACATGATTACATCCGGGCGGGTGGGTGGAGCCTTCCGCTGCCACCGCTACCTGTTCACCTGAACCGGATAGAACCAGGTGAATGCCACCACTGCTGTCAGGTATGTTGGGCTAAGAGAGGGAGTGAGTGGTCCAGTCATCCTAGAAACTCTGAGGGTAAGGAAGGTCTTGACCGCCTGTCTTCCTAGGGCAAGTCCAAACCCTTAGCCAAGAAAACTTCACCACCAGGAGATCAATTGAATTCAAAGGAGATTGTATTTGTTATTGTGCTCCTTCACAAAATTGGTTGGTGCTTTATGACAAGGATTATCACAGCTCAATTTATTACATAATTGTTCTTATCTGTAAAGCACATACAGCATCCAGTACCTTACATATGTTTTGGATTACAACTCCCATGAGCCTCAGCCAGAATTGCCAACAGATTTTATTTAAGGAATTGTGTATTACTGAAATTCTTGTCCATCATTTCTGGAATGAGCAGATTGTTTCTCCTTAAGACTTACCGGTATATCCAATAGGGATCTTTCTACTAGCAGAAGAGACGTTGCTGACAAATTGGGAATCGTCTGGGGTGTATGTGAACTATAAGTACTTGCATATATTGGACTTCACCTCTTAAGTCTGGATCATTGCTCCCTTAATGGGAAATGACTTTTAATTGCATTGCCATTTTTTTCAGTTGTCCCTGACATTTTAACTATTGCTTTCTGTCCTTAAAAGTGGCTTTAAAATATTTTACGTTAAAAATTAAGTAAAATTTGACAACCATAAATTTGGATAGCTCACAAATGCACTCAGAAGTCTGACTTTTTGCACAAATATTTCTTGGAGAAGCTGAGGTTGACTGATTTCCCAGAAATAAAAACAGAAGGAATATCTTGTAACATTCCAGGGAGCATGGAAAAATTTCACCTGATTCAGTTATAAAAAGTACCCAGTTCTGCTGGACTATAGTTCACTGTCAACAATGTTCACTATTGCTAGTTCACAAACATACATCTGTGGTGTTACATTACATATTATTAGCCATGAAATAGATTTTTAAAAATTATCCATATCAAAGTCCTCAAAAGAATTCATATATGCTGTGATCAGCATGGTTTATAGATTTTAAGCAGCATGGCACATTGTATTTTACTGCTGGGCTAGGAATCTTGTTAATATTTGCTCAGAATTAAAATCTGCTGATTTAAATGGTATTTGTTTTCAGATAGGTAGGCTGCACCCATTTCTCAGCGGTACAGCAGGGGAAAATGCATGGGACACTCCGCAGGAAGATAAACCAGGCAATATTGTAAAAATTATTGGACTCCTTCGTTTTTACATAAATGAATATAACAGACAGGCAATTAGTACAACCCTGCCTATTGCACCTAAGACTGCTGTTTGGAAATGCAAATATTAGGAGGGTTCTAGCTCATGCATACTTCAGGCCCCCAAAATGATGTTCAATATCTAGTGTAGGAGTGGTCAACTGTGGCCCATTTACAACCTGTGGATTTCAACTCCCAGATTTCCTGAACCAGCATGGTGGGCTTGGGAATTCTGGGAGTTGAAATCCACAGGTCAAAAGGGAGCCATAGTTGCCCAATCCTACGGTCTTCAGCTAAAACTGTGGGAGAAGATCAATCCAAGTACCAATTTTACTTAGTAAAGTAACTTTACCATCTTTGTAACCTGCCCATTCCCCAAAGTCTTGTACTATGAAATGCACAGAAAATATAAAGAGCTAAATCAGATGAAAGGCCTATTTAGTTCAATCTTTCTGTTTTCACTGCATCCATTCAGATGGTAATAAGAAATCTACAGGCAGATTAGAGACCTCTGGTTCTTTCACAGAACCTACATACATTGTGTACCTCCTGATCTGTGTTTTAAATAAATCTGTAATGGACTTTGTTGCAATATTTTCAGGATCAGACTCAATAAGATCAACGAGAGTTAAAGATTTAACTATATATTCTTTTATTTACATTAGGCATTCTATATTCACTGAATATTCACAGATAGAAGCAAGGGAAATGGTGTAGGTAGCTCCTTATATATATACAATGGGTGGAGCTATATGTGGGAGTGGTGAATTATGAATACATTAAGAAGTGAAGAATAAGTTAACCCCTGATACCCTGTCTGTACACTATTTACACATTGGAGAATAAGGCATTTATATCTGACAGACTTTCTGCTGATAATATCATCCATATATAAGATGGAAACAAACAATATGGGATTAAGAGCCTGTCTTCAACAGTACTGAGCAAAGTGGATGGAAAACACAACTAAAGAATTAACCTGGGGAAGGAATTGTCTTTGCCTTTGGTGTAGAAGAATTTCCTTCCCTTAAGGAGGAAAAATCTGTTGAGTATCCAATGGGGAGTGTTGGCTCCATTCGAGAGGGACTGCAGGAGCCACAAGGGACTATATTAAAAATGCAAGGGAGCTAGCAGCGCGGTTCCTGCTGATCTCCTGGCTTGTAACTCTCCAGGTTGGCAGCGAGGGGCAAACAAGAAGTTAGCCACAGGGAATAAAACGCGAGGGGAGGGGAGAAAAGAGCTGCTGTGATGAGATCAGAAGAAAGAAAACTTTAAAAGGAGGGAAGGAAGAAGGGGGGGGACAACAGCTCAGCAGAGAAGGGAAAGAGCCTCGTATAAAAGCATGAGACACACGCAAGGAGAAAACCAGGCTGGACGGAGAAGGGGAGCCCGCCTTTCAGCGCGGACACCAGCGCTGCTCCCTCTCTTCGTCATCCCAGCACCAGCGGGCCAAGGGAACTGGCTGGGCTCGAGTCCCCGTCCCCCTCAGGCGCCCAGCCAAAGACTTCGACTGTCCCTTCAGACTGGATTTCCCTCTCGGCGGTGGATCATACCCGCGGGGACGAAGAGGCTGAGAGGAGCCGCGGCAGCTCTGCCTGGGAACTAAGCCTCGGGCCGGCCACGGCCGTAAGAAGAAGCAGGGAAGGGAAGACCGGGGGAGATCCGAGGGGGTGAAAATTTGGTCCGGGAGAAAATAAAAGGAGGCTCGGGATTCGCCCTCGAACGGAGCCGAGGCAAGGCGGGAAAACTTCGCGCGGGGGCTCCCAACTGACACACGAGCCGAGCCTGCACTGACAGCCAGCCGCTCTCGGGGCTTTAATGGGCTGAGGAGAAAAGCGCCCCGCGAGACTGAAAGCGCACCCGAGTTGAAGGGGCAGCGCAAAGGCTTCCGAAGGCTGTTGAGGGTGTGTGAGTGTGTGTGTGGCACTCTGAAGGACCCGGGTGGCGGGTCTGGTTCTCCTGAGAGACATTGGGGCGAATTCATCCCGGAGGCGAGGCGGGGAAGAGCAGAAATAGCCCCTTCTGGCGCGGACAACAAGCGACAAGACTTCGCAGGAGGGGGACCGACTCCTCCAAGCGGGGCTCTCTCCCACTCGCCGCCAGCAGGGGCGGACGCTGCCCGCCCCCTTTCCCGGTGCCTCCGCAGACAGGCCGGGCATCTACAACACCGGCGCCCCGATTTCTCCCGAGGCGAACCAGCCCAGCGGTTCTCTCTCTCCTGTGTATCTCTCCCCCCCGCTCCAACCCGAGGGCTGCCCGGCCACGTCTCTTGGGTCGCGCGGGGCGCGCTCGGAGGCGGGGGGGGAGAGAGAGAGAGAGAGAAGTCCGCGGCAGCTCACCCCCCACCCCAGCGTGCGGCCACTTTTCGCAAGGCGGGCAAAGACCCCATGCGAGCGCCGGGCTGCGAGCGCAGCAGCAGCGACCCCTGCAGCCCGCCCCGTCGCCGTCGGACGAGCGTCCTCAGTCGTCCTTCTCCGCCGCCTCGGAAACCTCCTCCCATCCCGAAGTGGCTCCGCCGTGGTGGTGGCGGTGGCGCGGCGGCAGCGGCGGCGCTGCCTGCGACGACGCTTCCTCTCCTGCTGGCCGGGACGATCCCGAGAGCGGCGCTGCTGGCGCGGGAACTCCTGCTCTCGACTCCTTAGCGGCCGGGCAGGCGGCGGCGGCGGCGGCGGCTGCTGCTGCTGCTATTCCTCCTCCTCCTCCTCCTCCTCCTCCTGCTGCTGCTGCTGCTCAGTTGCCGCCGCCGCCGCCGCCGCCGCCGCCACCGCCGCGGAGCCCTAAAGCCGTCCTCTGCAGGAGGATGGTGCGTCTCGCGGCCGAGCTGCTGCTGCTGCTGGGGCTCCTCCTGCTCACCTTGCACATCACGGTGCTGCGAAGCAGCGATCCCGAAGCGCCGCCGGGCAACCACAGCCAGCGTCAGCAGGTGAGAGCGCGGGACGAGGCTGGGCTGTACGTAAAAGCCAAAAGGCTCTCCCCCCCCCGCCACTCTTCCCCACCCCCACTTTTCCCTTGGAGCTATCCCGCCATCGGCAGAAATCCCCGGGCGTCCAGCTGGCGAAAAAGCATTCGTAAAGCGCGCCTTCTTGAGGGAAGCCGCCTTCGACCCACTTCGTTGCAGTTCCTCCGGCGAGCACGCCCGGAGCGGCTGGCTGGCTTCGGGATAGCTTTTCCCAGCTTGGGCGCCCCGGAATTCCCAGCCATCAAGGGCCGTGTGGGTTGGGAAATTTGGAAACTTAGACCCAACTCTCTCTTAAGAGTCCCCCCCCACACACACTCCATTCTCTCTTATGGCTCTGTTGAATTGGGATTGTCAAGAATTGAAGGCAAGTTTTTTTCCCCCACCTACTGTTTGTGCAGATTAGAAAGAATTGAGGTTGAAGTCTAAACTGGCAAAAGATTCCCCTAGAATCTTTTCCCATCTTCTTTTGTGCCATTAAACTGCGAGTTTTAAGGATTGTTCCTTACTATTTTTGTGTGCAAAGCATATAGGATGGTCCACCTCTGAACTGTACACCAGCCCTGTGCACAAAAACTTAACAATTTTTGCTCCTATATACTTCTCTTTTCTTACATTAGTTTGTCACCTATATTTCAGTTGGTTCACCCTTGCATTGAATGCTCATTGTTTCTTGGTCCTGTATCTGACTTCCACATGCTCATTTCAAAGTCAAGATATGGACCTTTCTTGGGATAGAGAATTGGCACCTCTGACATGCGTTTAGCCCATATACTGTGTTTCCCTGAAAATAAGACCCCATCTTATATTTTTTTGAACCCTGAAATAAGCACTTGGCTTTATTGCGCTCAATGGGCTTATTATCGGGATGTCTTATTTTGGGGGAAACAGGGTAGAATGGCCAAAAGAGAGGTGCTGGGATTTTTGGTCTGGCAACAAAGCCATCATTTTCTCTCATTGCTGTTCTCGTTACTGCTGCATGCTTAGGCTGCCTATGTTCTTGCCTACTTCAAATTTTCCTGATTTTAAAACCAATTTGCCTGAGATTTCTTTCACCCATTGAAGGTATGTGTGTGTGTGTGTGTGTGTGTGTGTGTATTTTAAAGCACCTTTTGATTAATGCTTTTTATTCATTGCAATATAAACAAATTACATTCTTTATGAGTAAACAGCATTAGTAATCCAGTATAGACCAAATGACCTAATGAAATAATGGCCAAATTTACATTTAACAATAAGCCAAAAAGAGTATTTTTATTATAACATGAATGAGCATGGAGGTTATTTGTACCATCAGACGAGGAAACCAGGCAGGCAAAACTTTGCTTGATGCACAAACACGAGGTCATGATTTATTATGGTTAGCTATGCTACTATTAAGGTATCAAGAATATTCCCTGGTTTGAAGCTGTGACAGGGGGTTGTTTGGGCACATAAGAAACTATAAATTTAGATGTCTTATCATGCCATGTCATACTTGTCTGTTTACTTGCTTCCTTGTTTATATTAGTGTTCTCAAAGCTTCCAGGTTGTTGGGGTTAAAGGTCACAGAATTCCAAGGGAGACCTGTTTTGATCTCTTCTGGTTGGGAATTCTGGCAATTGTAGTTCCAGTCAACCATTTTTTTAATTTTATTTTTTTATGATTGTAATCCACCCAGAGGTATCTTGAGGTGAGATGGGTGGTCAATACATTTCATAAACACATAAATAAATACTTAAACAAACAAACAAATACGTAAATCTTGGGGGCATCTGGCAATTTGATTTAATAACAGAGAAGTCATGTCATATCATTATATGCGACTGATGCTAATACATCCACAAGGCTAAAAAAGAAAATGAACCCAAGGGATTTTTTTGTTCTATGCCTATACTATGCTGGGTTAGGAACCACTTCCTCTCAAATATATAATCCCTGGACAAATGACTTTCTATATTCATTCATAGACTTTTACCCTTGTTATCTCTGCTAAGCACAGAGCAGGTGGATAGTTGGTATCGGTCTTTGTTCTAGTTATAACATATTCAAAAATCACACATTTAATCTGGTGACATTATAAATATATTTGAGAAGAGAAAAAGTTCTTTTCCAGATTTTAGATTGCAGTAGTTCTATGTTTGTGACTTATGGCCAAGAAACGAACCCAGGAGACAGTGTCCAAGTTCAGCTATAATATAAAATTAAGAAAAGGAAAAGTGCTAGAAACTCCCCATTGTGCAGTGAACATGAGCTTTTCTTACCTGTTCAGTATCTCTTAGAGCTGTACAGCACTTTGGATTTAAAGTCCAATAGCTACTTCAGAGCATGCAGGAGTTCAGAAAGCAGCTACACAATCAAGGGAAAAGACATAACTCTTGAAAGAGTTGCAAATATGTCAGAATGTCAGGCACTCTGGAACATCTTTGTGCCTCTGACAGCAAAGCACAGCGTTGCTGGAACATCCATGGATGATAGATGGGCAACAAGCAGTGGCATCTGTGGGTGGGACAAAGTCGAGGGTGTCAAAAGTCTATAATTAGGACCGTCAAATGACGGTCTAGATCTAGAGCCCTGTAGATATGTGTGATGATGATGATCCACAAAGTACATGAGGCTTTGGTCATATAGATGGGACCACTAAATTGACTTTTTAAAACCTGTTCCCCGATGGATGCATAGGGCACTGGACACTTATGGAAATGACATCTCCTCAACTTTCCTACATTCATTAGGACATCCAATGAATGCTCTTATGAATATGTTAACAAATCACTTCTTTCCTTGACACACATTACTTTCTCATTAAGTTCTGAATAATTCAATGAGTAATCATCTTTTGTAAATGCAAAGAATTCTTATACCAATCCAGCTTAAGTTACGTTCTGCATCAGGTTCTCTGGATAGCTGATATTATTAGTGGATAAAATCAGTGGTGAAATCCAAATTTTTTTACCACCAGTTCGGTAGGCGTGGCTTGGTGGGCGTGGCTTGGGCGTGGCAGGGGAAGGATACTGCAAAATCTCCATTCCCACCCGACTCCAGGGAAAGGATACTGCAAAATCCCCATTCCCTCCCCACTCTGGGGCCAGCCAGAGGTGGTATTTGTCAGTTCTCCGAACTACTCAAAATTTCCGCTACCGGTTCTCCAGAACCTGTCAGAACCTGCTGGATTTCACCCCTGGATAAAATGTATGAGATGCCCATGAGAGTGACTGACATATTGGGGAGCTGAGCTTCAGGAGCCCAACCAACACTTAGCAAATTCCTAGGCTATAATTCAAGCCATGAAAGCAAACTTGCTGACCTCCATGGACGTTTTAATTTTTATGATGTAAAAGGAATATATGGGTGCCTTTTCTGTGCATCAGTACAACAGAACTTCTCTTCTCCTGTGTAAACTACGTAACCAGAAAATGTTATCTGCATATTTAAGACAGATCTTTGGCTACTGAAACACATAGACAAATTTAGAGCTGTAAATTAATATGAATAAAAATGAATTACTTTTTTCCTACCTTGTTCCAGATAATCTTACAGCATTGTTTCCATAAAAGAAACAAAGAACAAGGAGTGTGAACTGGGGGGGGGGTGTCCATAGGCAAAAGATAGCAATAGCAATAGCAATAGCACTTAGACTTATATACCGCTTTACAGCCCTCTCTAAGCGGTTTACAGAGTCAGCCTATTGCCACCAACTATCTGGATCCTCATTTTACTGACCTCGGAAGGATGGAAGGCCGATGGGACCTTGAGCCACTGGGACTTGAATTGCCAAACTGCTGGCAGTCAGCAGTCAGTAGAAGTAGCCTGCAGTACTGCACTCTAACCACTGAGCCGCCACAGCTCATCCATCTTTTATTACCTGTGACTTTCCAGGTGTCTTGGTTGAAAGCTTCAAACCACTGACCATGATGGGTGAGTGTGTGAAATTGATAAACCCAAAATTCTAAAAAAAAACCAAGATCGAAGAATGCTTTTTCAAAACTCTTTGTTGTGTATAGAAGATGATGAGCAGAGGAAAGGGAATCTACCAATTATGTGCAATCATAGAAGGCAAAGTAAAAATCCACTCCCAATAAATTGTTTAGGCAGACTGAAGAAATGTCTATGGCGATTCTTAATCATCCAGGTCCCAAAGATACTTTTTCAAGAGACAACTGGACTTTTTTGTTTTTCTTTGAAGATGTTTTGCTTCTCATCCAAAAAGCTTCTTCAGGTCTGGATGAGAAGTGAAACGTCTTTAAAGAAAATCCAGAAAGTCCAGTTGCCTCTTTAAAAAGCACTTTGGGACAGGCTGAAGAAAGTAGCTAGAAAGATTTTAATTATTAAGTATATTTATATGCACCCAAATCTAAAACATCTCAGTGACTCATGTTGAAAAATACAATATAAAACAAACCCCATACAAAATTAAAAATATTTCTTATTTTTGATTGATTTAAGAGAAATTCTTAATACATACATACATACATACATACATACATACATACATACATACATATTGCAATTTTCTTTATGGAGACTAGGCTATTGAACAAAGTTTGTCATATTTTTAACAGACCAGGCATTTGATTCCTAAATTATATAAAAAAGGGCATTTATGGAGAAAATCTGAGAAGCACCTGCTTAATTTGGAGTGACTTTATTAGATTTACTTCTTGCCAAAATCTGGAACTGTTCCATTATGCATGATCTTCTAATTCAGAAATAGAGTTTTCTGTCCTCTTAGTAGCCTTAGAACATTTCCTTTACCCCATGATTGAATTTTAAGATGTGTTTACTTCCTGGATAGGAATATTGAGCAACAACCATTTGAAGGACTTCTTGCCATTGGGTAGCACTGTATCATCATTCCTGATTTAAGAATTTTCCATCCTGTGATGCTTGCTTGCTTGCTTGCTTGCTTTCTTTCTTTCTTTCTTTCTTTCTTTCTTTCTTTCTTTCTTTCTTTCTTTGTTCCTTCCTTCCTTCCTTCCTTCCTTCCT